TATATATATATATATATACAATTATTCTTAGAATTTGTTTCGATTGCACAAAAAAAAAATAAAATCGCTACAGTATACCGGAGGTGAGAATTCGAATTCAAGGAAAAGTGAGAAAATTGCTTAGATGGCAAGAATCATGGAAAAGGAATTCCCTAGAATTTTTTACCTATCAAATACTCATTTTTGGCAAAAGGTGAAAATGAATTTCCATTTTCTATGGAATTGGAGGTTATCAAACACTACCTTATTGTAATTCTTTTAACCAGATTTTTACTCCTATCTTGCCACGATCAACAGATAGGTTTCGAAAGGGAAACGAACTAAACAATGGAAAAATTAAGCCCATGTTTGACAACCATTAAATAGAAAAAATAATGTTTTGAATAGCAATTTTTAGAAGAATGTGTGGATAAAAATTAGAAAAAAATTTTGGGTTTACAAACAGAATATTTTATTGTTTGAATATGTGGTTGAAAATGAATACGTAGAAAATGAATTTTCAAATAATTGTTGTCAAGAATTATGCTCTTTGTACACCGACGTGTCATAGCTGTTGTACGTATTGCAAAAACCCTTGTTGTCAATTAGGGACTTAGTTGAGCTCGCAATTTTAATGAATCGTTGAGGACTTACTTAGTTACAAATGTTTTAGAAGGATCGATAGAAAAGTTAAACAATCATCATGGTGATAAATTAGAGGCCATCTTGGTCAACCAAGAATGTAGGTGGTGGTTTTATGACATTGTTGGAGCAGGTTGATTATCAGCTTGGTCTCAGAGAAAAATGCATAAAATTTTGCTCCAAGGCTAATTGAAGAGTCTCCTTCTTTGATCCACAATCAAGATTGTTCTCTTGCCTTCTTTTGGCGGGTGGTGGGAATTTTGGGAGGTTGGAGAACGGAATTAGGGTTTAAACAGATAGTGCAGATACTTGAAACAACCTCCATTGACGAACAGAAAATCAATAAGAGGAACGAAATATAATGTTAGTTGAAGAAGGCCACTGATGTACATTATGAGGTAAAGAGTCCCTTTTTAGAAAATAATCAGCTCTGAGATGTATATACAAACTAACCAACTTGACCCAAAATTTTCTGAAACTCTAAACCAAGTCGTTGCTATATCTTTGATGGTATGATAATGTCAACATCACGGTTAGAAAGGGCTTTCTAGAGTCATGAGATCTGTTTATCACTTTGAGATGAACTTGAAAGTCTCGTAACATCAAATTCACAGGCTATTCTGCTGTATGAACCTTTGATGCATGCAGGGAAACTTCCTCAAGTAGCACTGGCCAATCTGCTCCAATTATCCTGGGATTCGACTCCATTGCAACTTGAAAATCTAACATTGACACGAAGAACAATCTCTCCGAGTTCTCTATGTATGACATGGGCCTAATCCCATTTACGATGGATTTGGTTTGATGATAAACTTGATTATGAAGTGTGCATTCTGATCTTGAAGCAGCTAAATGGAGACAGGGTTCTACTAATCTCTTCATAAAAATATTGAGCCCATTGTTTAACAAGTGCACACAACTTGTTGAGAGCTTCAAACCCTCCATGTCCAATTTTCGTTCTAACCGCTTCTTTAATGAACTGGTATCAGGAAGCTCACCATTATTAAAACAAGTGTCCATATAAACGAATGGTGCTGCTCCATGGCAGAGCATCTTCCTCATTGCATTTAGCGAGACACCAAGAGGAGCTTTAACCGGGCTTCTTCTATAAATGCCTGGACTTCCTGCAGCCTGTTCTACGTCTTCGACATCTTCCACAGACGTGATTTCAACAGGAGACTTGCTACTCTGCTGTTCTTGAACCTTTGGTACTGAATTTTCAGTAGCCACATTATGGGCCTTCCCATGAGGCCTGAGAGGGTTCAGTCTGTCCCTGAACTTGCGATGACGAAGGGTATCAGTCCGTCCCTTCCTCAGAGAGCGAGGAAACACATCTCTACAGAATGACTGAAGACTACTTCTTTGGTAGGCATTAGGCCATATCACATTCAATGAAGCTTCCGATTTGCCATACTTTGGTGGAGGAATATTGGCAACACATGCATTCTTGATAATTGCTTGAATTAGCCCATTGTGAAGAACGATATCCTCTCGCCCCAACAACCCAATACAGAGCTTATTGAACTCTGATTTACTAAGCTTAAGACTTAAATATCTATTCAACAGATCAAAATACTTTCCAGCCTTTTGTCCACCGAGCTTCCGTTCTATACGAACTTTTAGCCCATAAATGTCAATTCGGGGGCAATGCCGATCTCCTGACATTCTGGCTCCCAAATTCATTATTACCATGAATATAATACTTGATCCCTCAAATACATGTAAAACCTTTTATTAAAAAAATCATCTTTGCTGATATAGTAATTGGTCGCACCACACTGAAATTAAGTTCTGCAACAAAATAAGCAAACCCTATATAATCAGAACAATTTCAAATCACTTAATCCACTAACAAATTCCCAATTCTATCAAAAATTGATCAAGAATTTAGGGCCACCTTTCTTGAATTAGCCGAATCACAGTACAATTAAGCAAGAAACAGACAGTAAAATCACAAACAACACCAAGAAGCAAACTTTATTCAAACCCAACTGACATTCAACTTATTTATCAAACTCTTTCAGCAATTCCTAATCAGAAACAACAAATCCACTAAACTTAAGCCCTTTTTTATATTAAAAAAAAAAAGGTAACTAAAAGAAAAAAGAAAGAAAACTCACTTGATTAAAATTAAATGCAGAATTAATCGTCGTTCGAACCTCCGGTATGTTCTTAGAGAGAGAGAGCGAGGAAAAAGAGTGAGTGAGGGAACAGTAAAACGTTGGCATTTGGAAGCTTCTTCTCAAGTCATGGAGAGTCAAACGCACGTGCGGTTCCTTTTACAAGTTTGATGTGAGGTTTCTCTTATGTCTGAGAAAGATCGGTTTTTGTTTGGCTTACCAATCATATGTGAGGTTTCTCTTATGTCATAGAAAGATCGTTTTTTTTTTTTGGGCTTACCAATCATGTGTCCGTTGACCAGAAATATGCAAGTTTGATGAGAGGATAGTCAGGGCTGAAGTCAACCGTTTGGTTATCAACTTCCAGACAAGTCTACAATGGAATTTTGTGTTGATTTGTGGCATTTATAAGTACCAATTTCTCATTCTCTTCCCCATTCAGTTCTTTTACTCATAGACAAGATGCAAGATCGAAGCATGAAAATGTGAATTGTGAAATCCAATATGCTTCTTTTGGAACAATGTATGCTAGAAACACTGCACTTGGCCAATTCCATGCATTTGAGAAGCAAAAGCATAGTAGAATTACCAGAGACTACTGAGATCTATTGAAGCTACTGTTTCTCCATTCTTTTCCTTTTTCTGTTTTTGCTTCTTTTACATTCCTTTTATTCGGGTGGTGGGAATTTTGGGAGGCTGGAGAACGGAATTAGGGTTTAAACAGATAGTGCAGATACTTGAAACAACCTCCATTGACGAACAGAAAATCAATAAGAGGAACGAAATATAATGTTAGTTGAAGAAGGCCACTGATGTACATTATGAGGTAAAGAGTCCCTTTTTAGAAAATAATCAGCTCTGAGATGTATATACAAACTAACCAACTTGACCCAAAATTTTCTGAAACTCTAAACCAAGTCGTTGCTATATCTTTGATGGTATGATAATGTCAACATCACGGTTAGAAAGGGCTTTCTAGAGTCATGAGATCTGTTTATCACTTTGAGATGAACTTGAAAGTCTCGTAACATCAAATTCACAGGCTATTCTGCTGTATGAACCTTTGATGCATGCAGGGAAACTTCCTCAAGTAGCACTGGCCAATCTGCTCCAATTATCCTGGGATTCGACTCCATTGCAACTTGAAAATCTAACATTGACACGAAGAACAATCTCTCCGAGTTCTCTATGTATGACATGGGCCTAATCCCATTTACGATGGATTTGGTTTGATGATAAACTTGATTATGAAGTGTGCATTCTGATCTTGAAGCAGCTAAATGGAGACAGGGTTCTACTAATCTCTTCATAAAAATATTGAGCCCATTGTTTAACAAGTGCACACAACTTGTTGAGAGCTTCAAACCCTCCATGTCCAATTTTCGTTCTAACCGCTTCTTTAATGAACTGGTATCAGGAAGCTCACCATTATTAAAACAAGTGTCCATATAAACGAATGGTGCTGCTCCATGGCAGAGCATCTTCCTCATTGCATTTAGCGAGACACCAAGAGGAGCTTTAACCGGGCTTCTTCTATAAATGCCTGGACTTCCTGCAGCCTGTTCTACGTCTTCGACATCTTCCACAGACGTGATTTCAACAGGAGACTTGCTACTCTGCTGTTCTTGAACCTTTGGTACTGAATTTTCAGTAGCCACATTATGGGCCTTCCCATGAGGCCTGAGAGGGTTCAGTCTGTCCCTGAACTTGCGATGACGAAGGGTATCAGTCCGTCCCTTCCTCAGAGAGCGAGGAAACACATCTCTACAGAATGACTGAAGACTACTTCTTTGGTAGGCATTAGGCCATATCACATTCAATGAAGCTTCCGATTTGCCATACTTTGGTGGAGGAATATTGGCAACACATGCATTCTTGATAATTGCTTGAATTAGCCCATTGTGAAGAACGATATCCTCTCGCCCCAACAACCCAATACAGAGCTTATTGAACGCTGATTTACTAAGCTTAAGACTTAAATATCTATTCAACAGATCAAAATACTTTCCAGCCTTTTGTCCACCGAGCTTTCGTTCTATACGAACTTTTAGCCCATAAATGTTAATTCGGGGGCAATGCCTATCTCCTGACATTCTGGCTCCCAAATTCATTATTACCATGAATATAATACTTGATCCCTCAAATACATGTAAAACCTTTTATTAAAAAAATCATCTTTGCTGATATAGTAAACACTAATTGGTCGCACCACACTGAAATTAAGTTCTGCAACAAAATGAGCAAACCCTATATAATCAGAACAATTTCAAATCACTTAATCCACTAACAAATTCCCAATTCTATCAAAAATTGATCAAGAATTTAGGGCCACCTTTCTTGAATAAGCCGAATCACAGTACAATTAAGCAAGAAACAGACAGTAAAATCACAAACAACACCAAGAAGCAACTTTATTCAAACCCAACCGACATTCAACTTCTTTATCAAACTCTTTCAGCAATTCCTAATCAGAAACAACAAATCCACTAAACTTAAGCCCTTTTTTTTATATTAAAAAAAAGGTAACTAAAAGAAAAAAGAAAGAAAACTCACTTGATTAAAATTAAATGCAGAATTAATCGTCGTTCGAACCTCCGGTATGTTCTTAGAGAGAGAGCGAGGAAAAAGAGTGAGTGAGGGAACAGTAAAACGTTGGCATTTGGAAGCTTCTTCTCAAGTCATGGAGAGTCAAACGCACGTGCGGTTCCTTTGACAAGTTTGATGTGAGGTTTCTCTTATGTCTGAGAAAGATCGGTTTTTGTTTGGCTTACCAATCATATGTGAGGTTTCTCTTATGTCATAGAAAGATCGTTTTTTTTTTTTTGGGCTTACCAATCATGTGTCCGTTGACCAGAAATATGCAAGTTTGATGAGAGGATAGTCAGGGTTGAAGTCAACCGTTTGGTTATCAACTTCCAGACAAGTCTACAATGGAATTTTGTGTTGATTTGTGGCATTTATAAGTACCAATTACCAAGTACTAGTGAAACATAAAATACCAAAAGCTCATTATAAAGTTGCATTTCATGTTCAAAGTGCAAGGAAACAGTGTTGAGCGAAGTCGTAGAAAGTAGAGAGACATGTAAGTAATAATACTTTGACTTTATAATCCAACATTGACATTTCTTGTCAAGGCCTTGCTTAATGAATTTACTTTTCATTGCTTTGTGATTCACCATTTATCACTAGAGAGTGCATTAGGATAAGGGAAAAAATCAAAAATGAAAAGAAAGTGTGATAGGAAGAAGAAGGTACACTAGTACGTGTTTCAATTGCCTCTTTCCTCACACCGCTATATGCAGAAATTTATTCAATAATTTTAAATTTCAATGATAGTTTACGGATGTTAGATCTTATTTTAATTGCAATTAAAGTCCTCAATGTTTGCTCATTCTAGTCCTTATATTTCTAATTTTTTTTTCGAAGCATTCTGATCGTCAACATTTCTTGTCTCTGATAATAGTTTTCATCATAAAAATCCATTGGAAGCCAGTACTCTAGACAAAATATTTATCCCTCATTTCAAAACATGCAACACAATATCTTGATAGAAATCATCATCAAGGATAAGATGTGCTAATTAGTGGAAGGTTAAAGATAATAATCCAATGAAAAAAAGTTAAGGACAAAACGGTTATATGATAAAAGCTTGAGGACCTTAAATTCAATTAAAATGTGGTGTAAAAAGTACAAGTTGTAGTACAAATATAATTAATACTTGGAATAAAATGAAAAAGAGAGTTTCACTTTTCAAGTTTCAATTTTCAATTACAAGGTTTTTTAATTGATAGTAGCATCGAATCTAATTGTTAGACAAAATTGAACTACCAATACGAGTATCATTAATATCGTTACCAATTTTAAACTTCTTAGAGTCTTGACCAACCATCCCTCTCCCCAATTTTTCCATATATTGGAGTTAGATTTTTTGCTACTTGTATATAAAAATGGCACATAAACGATTATAAAAAATGGCGTGAAGGAAAAATATTAGATAAAAAATTTGATTGTATTTTAAAATGACAGATAATAGAGTGTTATGTAACATTATGTAATCCCTTATATAAATTCTATTGTACATGTAGCAATGTCATTTGGAGTCAGGTTAATAAAATGAATGATGTTTTGCTTTTAAATATGGATAGAATCATTTGAATTATCATAACGGGTGATTTTATTGTCACCACAAAAATCACCCATACATGTATTCACACATTTTTTGTCACATTCTTATCTTCAATTTTTTATTAATTAGTACACGTAGTCTTTGATAATGATTTACTTTCAAATAATCTATTGATTTGTTATGGAAGACAAATATTCTGTCACATTTTTGTATTTTTTATTTTTTCTCTTCTTTTAAAATATGATGGACACACTCTCTAACCACTAATTTTTATTTATTTATCTTTTTCATGAAAATTATCGTCGGGGACAAAATGTAATAATTAATGAAAAGTTAATGACAAAAATGCAATCGAAAAGATAAATTTACGACACAGTGCGATAGTATGAGAAATTGGGAACCTTTAATTATAGAGTAGCGATAATCAATTTGCCACATTTAATCGACTGAAATGAAAGGAAGTGGATTCTATTTCGAAAGAAGTGCAGCAGAAAAGGGTGGGAATGCAACAGCTGACATCTCCACATTCTATAAAACATTCACTACAAGAAAAATGGCCTTTGGCAACATATAAATGACAACATTCACCAATTGTATGTTACTAAAAGGGGTTTATTGCAACATTCAGCAAATGCATGTTGCCATTGGTTGAGAAAATGAAGATTTAACAACGTTTTTTAAGTAGTTGTGGCTAATACACCCTTTCGCAATGTCCAACGGCCGTTGTTGTTTTTTTTTTTTTTTTTTTTTTACNNCCTTTGTTTTTTTTTTTTTTTTTTTTTGGCAACGTGCAGTATTTTAGCACGTTGCTGTAAATATTTTAGCAACGTTCTTTGAACGTTGCCGTTAATTAGTTTCAGCAACGTTCATTGAACGTTGCCGTTAACAAGCTTTGGCAACGGGCAATGCACGTTGCTATATATTTTTTAGCAATGTTTATCGAACGTTGCCGTTGGTTGGTTTTAGTGTTCGTAAAATTATTTCTTCTCGATTTTAAAATCCACCGCAAGTGTACGGTTCGTTAACAAGTAGTAAAATGAACTATGAGTCCAAGTATCGTTCCCACGAGGATTGAATTAGCTCTAATTAAACTAATGTAACCTTAACCGAATTTAATTGAATGAAAATTTGGTTTAAATGTGAAAACCCTAATTTTGGGAGAAATCCTCAATTTGAAACCCTAATTGCAAGGAAAACCCTAATTTCGAAATTTCACTAATCTAATGAAATAAACACGCATCTGAAATGTAAATATGCAATTTTAGATACTATTGTATTGAAATGAATTGAAATGAAATCATTAAGAACTTGAATCCCCAATTGACTATTAAAAACCCTAATTTCACAAATTCAACTAGTCGATGGAACAAAATGCCAATTCAATATTCCTAAATTATCCAATACACTCTCTCGATATATATTGAATCTACTCTTACACACCACCAACCTATATTTCTATGGATGATGCAATGTACAAGAATGCATGACTTTTTATGAACATTTTCATGAATTGCATAAAGCATAGAGGTAAGTTTCCATCCCCTATCGGACCCTATGTCGATTTATATTCTATCGAATTTATTCCCCTTCTTTCGAATGCAAAGAATAAATCATCTACAATCACATAATAATT